AGAAGGGAGGATGCAGGAGAAGGTGTGAGATGGTCCCTCGCTTGGTCCCTGGGTCCAGATAAGTGCTAGAGCTGGCTCCCTCACTTGCCGAGCCTTTATCTCTTAGGGACACCATGCTAGATCTCTCTGAGGAACTTCTGGTGACGGGACCCACAGGGAATCCTCAAGATAGCCTCTTTTAATGTAGCCCTTCCTATCCTGAGTTCGCAGGAGACCCTGGCTTTTTTAGACATGAGACAGAGAAGTCCTCTTCCGTGGTCACAGAAGTGAGTCTTGCTCTCCAACACAGCACAGAGGCTCTGCCTGCCATACTGAAGTAGCTCAGCCTGACCATAGTCTTCCTTCCTCTTCTGCATGTGCTCACGTGTGCTGTATGGTGTTGGAGATGGAACCCAGAGCCCTATACATGGTAGGCAAGGGCTCTTAAGCAGAGCCCTCTCTGGGGGATTCTATGCAGGTGCTCTACCACTGAGCCACGCCCTCTGTGTCTACCAGAACACCTATCTATCCCACAGCAAGGGACTAGGTTATGACTCAGTGGTAGAGCTCTTGCATGACATGCGTTAGACTCTGGGTTCAATCCCTGGTACTAACAAAAAACAAAAATGAAACACACACATACACACACACACACACACACACACACACACATTCCCTCACAGCTTCAACAATAGAGCAGAGAAGATGCCCCACCCTGGCCCCTTCTCACAGTGCTTCAACCAACATAAACTTCTGCTTTTTGCAGAACTGTCCCTGGGGAGAGACCTGCATGAAGCTGAATGACAAGAGGCAAAGATTCACAAATGGCTTGTGTTTACCCCTAGGATACCAAGGAGAGATGAAGGCAGCTATTGGGGGGGGGGCACTGAACTCAGGGCATAAAGTTTAGGAAAGGCATGGGACTATCTAGTGTTATTAGAAGTGACTAAGAACGAAGAGCAGGGGGACTAGAGAGATCACTTAGCAGAGAAGCTCATGGGCTGTGCTAGAGGAGGACCCACGTTCAGTTCCAAACACCCAGATCAGGATGCTCACGCCTGTCTGTAACTCCAGCTCCAGGGGATCTGATCTGACACCTGTGGCCCCCACTGGCACCAGCACTAATGTATACAGAGACACACATAATTAATAATGAGAATAATAAACATATATATATATATATATTTAAGTTTTATGTGTACGGATGTTTTGCCTGCATATATGTTAATGGGTCAGAAAACAGTGTCAGATCCCCTGGAACTAGAGGTGTGTGTGTGTGTGTGTGTGTGTGTGTGTGTGTGTGTGTTTACATGTGTTGCCTGGGATCAAAGTTAGAACCTTACACATGCTAAGTGATCTCTAGGTGGCATATTCCCTACTAGATAATAGGTGTCATTGATACTTCTTGATGAAGGAACCCTCCATAGCTGGGCAGGCCTCAGAATGGAAAACGCTGGAAGGGAGTGCTTGGAGACATCCAAGCCTTGCAGTCAAACATATGAAAATGGTCATTTCTCAGCACCTCCACCACCGAGGCTCCCTTCCAGGCCTAAACACAACTTCCCTCTAATCCTCACTGCCTTTTATTTTTTAGACAGGGTCTCTTGTAGTCAGTTCTGGCCGGAAGTTCATTTTGTAGCAGAGGTTGCCCTTGAAATCCTGATCCCTCTGCCTCTACTTCCCAAGTGCTGGGATTACATACAAGTGTGCACCAACAGGCCTCTGTCTCCTGCATTTAGATCATGCTCACTGGGATCCAGGTCGCAGTTTCCAAAAGGGAATTTAAAGCAGCTTTGTGGTTGGATTTCCAGTGGGGTCTGGTGGCACTTTGCTGCCCTCTGATGGCAATGTGTAGTACTCTAGGTCCAAATCCTGTGAGGAGAATCCAGGGGCGAAAATCTGGCTTCAGCCTACCAGGACCTCATCCCATCCGCCATGACTCCTGTCAGGGCTCAGGCCCTCAAAGATCAAGGGACAGACCACTAGATTTGAGTCTGTGACCCTGACCCCAACAACTTTCCCACGGGCATTGGTTCTTGTCTGTTTAATCAGCATTGAAGAAGAGGAGGCGGCCGAGCTGGGTGTGGTGGCAGAGGCAGACTGATCTCTGTGAGTTAGAGCCCAACCTGGTCCGTGAGGCAGAAACAAGCAGATGCCAACCTGGTCACTTTGTACAAATCGAATTCACGAAAAGCCAGGACTGCTACAAAGAGAAACTTTGTTTCAAAAAACAAAACAAAAACTAAATAAATAAAAGAACTCTAACAACTGTGAAAACCACCAAGCATGCGTGCTCACCCTTTCCCGGTTGAGCATTGATTGGGATTACTGATGTTTTCGAGAAGCAGGTCTCAGAAAAGGCTGTTAGGAGGTTTAGACTTCTGGATGGTAATTTGGGGGAAAATTTTAAGTAAGGGTGCTTTTCTTAGGACTAAATGTTATTAGGGAGTGAGGTCGATGATTACATTTTTTTCTTTTCTTTTTCTCTAGACAGAATTTCTCTGTTGTATCCCTGGCTGCCCTGGAACTCGATCTGTAGTCCAGGCTGGCCTAGAAATCACAGAGATTCACCTGCCTCCACTTCCGGAGTGCTGGGACTAAAGGTGTGCACTACTACCACATGACTGCTGATTACATTTTAAAATAATAATATTATTTACAGTACAGGAATTGGACCCTGGGACTTGTGCATGCCAGGCAAGCATAGAGATGCCCCCAGTCCCCCACTAGTAGATTCTAGGCAAGTGTTTGACCACTGAGCTTCATATGTAGAAATGACTGGCCTTGAACATGGTTTGATATGGAACTAGATATGTAGACTAGACTAGCCTTGAACTCATAGAGACCTGCTTGCCTCTGTCACTTGAATGCTGGGGCTAAAGGTGTGTGCCATCATGACCAATGTCCTTAGTTTTTTTTTTTTTTTTTTTTTTTTTTTTTTTTTTTTTTTTTTTTGTTTTTTGAATCCTTAGTTTTTTTTGAGACAGAGTCTTTCTATGTAGCCTTGGCAGGCCTTGAATTTTCTATCTTCCTGCCTCTGCCTCCTTTCTACAGTATGTGCTACTACTGTACTCGGCTGGGTATTTTGGTTTGGGTTTTTGTCTCTTGTGGTACTGAGGAGCATTAGAGTATAGGCCTGAGTCAGGCATGCCCCAGCAGCTCTCTCTGGGGCAGAGTTTCAGAATCAGTCAGTGCTGTGACTTGGCAGCTCCCAATGTATGGTACCTTGCTCTTCTGTGCTGAACTAAATCACAGAATGCTACACTTTCTGCTGCCCCTAAAACGTTATAGAAAAGATCCTTCCTTAGTTCTGGAAATTTGGTCACTCCTTGAGGGGATTTGCTGGGAAAGATTATTCTGAATTATTTCTAAAGAGTCTCTCTCTCTCTCTCTCTCTCTCTCTCTCTCTCTCTCTCTCTCCACCTCCCTCTTCCCATCTATCTTTCTCTTATTCCCAGTTAGTGATGCTCCTCTCCAGGCTCCAAAGGGAACCCTCTCATTCCCTTTAAGACTCCATGGTGTTCAGAGCTCCATATACTGTATTGTTTCTGTCTAATGCTCTTTCTCCCGTCTGCAGACCCAGTCAGCTCTGAGGCCCTTTCTTTATAATACGCCTCTTGAAAGGACTTGTTTCAGTTTCCTTAAATACAAACTATTGCTGTTATCATCTCATCTTTTATTATCTGGAGCTAACACAGTACCTCACATACGGTCCAAAAGATGCTCTGCCCCTGGACAGCCCCAGCCCCATCATTCTCCATTACTGTAGATGTTATGTAAAATTAGGTACGGTCATCTTCACCTGAAAGCTTTGAAGTGAATTCCTGGCCAGCTCCTAGACTGGAGTGGCAGTTCTCTTTACTCTAAGAAAGACTCATATACTCAGCCTTGACTGGTGGCACTGTGCTTCCAGAGGGGCCCAGGCGATCGATCGGGCTGTCTCAGGAGTTCAGTTGGGTTTTTGTGCTGTGTTGTAAAAGAAGTGCATAAGAAATGGGGTGTGAGGCTAATACTTCCAATCCCCGGATTTGGAGGCAAACATGGCTCTGGCAGTCCTCGCCCTTCTCCCCCATTCCCTCTGCTTTGCTAAACACCATTGGATTATGTTCCTGAAGCTAGCCACCAAGGTCTACCTGTATTTGGCCTCTTCCTCCTCCTGAGGCTGACTACCAGGATCCAGTTATCAAAGTATTAAAGTCTAGCGATCAGAAGCCCCCTTGGCTCACCAAATTGACATGCCCAATTAAGGTTAAATAGCTCATCCTAACAAGGGTTCCCCCTTTTCCTTTATAAATCACCATTTGCCTGCGGGCCACATCTCTCTCCTCTCTGTCTGTCCTTTGTCATTGTCATGGTCCCCAAATGTCTCTTTCCCTCCTTTCTTGTTCCCTTTCCCCTTCTCCCTTTCCTCTATTCCCTATCTTTGTCTCTTATTCTCTGCCGTCGTCTGTCCCTCTGGGGCATCTCATTTGTGTTGTTTGTGCTGAGAACTTGGTCTTGGGGTCAAGAGGATAAATTGTCAAGAGTTCCAGGCCAACCTGAGCTACCTATGAACACTATCTCAGGAGAAGAAGGGAAGGGGAATTGTGAGGGGGGGGGAAGAGAGAGAGAGAGAGAGAGAGAGAGAGAGAGAGAGAGAGAGAGAGCGCTAAATCAAATAGCTCTCTAAGACAAAGCCCAAGGACAAGCAAAACCAGGAGGAAAGTGCTCAGGGCCACAAACAAGCTGCACGAAACCCTTGGGGACCTGAGAGGGCGCCTGGGGCCAGGCCACTCATCATGAAAGGCCGCCTCTTCCCCCTAGGAATATGAGAGTCAGGCAGCCCTGATTTGTTTTGAAACAAGAAATGAAGTTACGCTGCTATGACCGCACTGGCCTCGCGCTCATGAATATTCAGCAAGCTGGTCAGGCTTTCGACACCGTCTCTGATTCCCCCCCCCCCCCCCCGCTGAGAGGGTGCGCATGCGCGCCGCCGCTGGAGCGCAAGTGGCGCGTTCTTCTGTCGTCATCAAGACTAGCGGCCGCCGGCAGAGCTTGCGAAGAAGTAAGCTGCTATGGCGAGTCCCGTTGCCAGCTCTGTGAGGCCGCCCAGGCCCAAGAAAGAGCCGCAGACGCTCGTCATCCCCAAGAATGCAGCCGAGGAGCAGAAGCTTAAGCTGGAGCGGCTCATGAAGAACCCGGTGAGTCGCAGTGGGCTCTGCGGCCCCTTCACCCCACCCTCCACACTCGGGAACGCTACACCCCGTACCCCTAGAGGAGGCCTGGGGCGGAGAAGCCCGCCCCGTAGAGGGTCCTTGTCCTACAGCGCAGCTGCATGAAGGGTGCTGTTCAACCCTCCATCCCCTGCTTTTTCTTAATTTTCTTTTTTGCGGTACTGAGGCGTTGCGCATTCTATCCATGCCCGTTTTGAATCGACTCTGTACTATAGGCAGCTCTCAAACTTGGGGTGGTCCTGCCTTGTGTCCTCAAGTAGCACAACGTCACTATTCCAGGTTGCTTCACAGCCCTTTCTGTTTTAACTTTGATAAGAATGAAAGCGGTAGAAGCTGGGCGTGATGGTGCACACCTGTATAATTCCAGCACGCTTGGTGGCTGACACAGAAGGTAGCTACAAACTCCAGGCAACCCTGGTCTACATAGTGAGTTACAGGCCAGCGATACAGTGAGACCTATTTCAAAAACCAGCAAAAAACCAAGAATCTATGCCTCAGGGAACGTGTTCAACTCCTCTAAATAGCGCCCATTATTAAAGAGGCGCTGGCCAACACATTTGGAACACATCACCCTTTACCGCCCAACTGTGCTTCCTAAAAACAGCTGAGAAAGTCTCATGTTTTTGCCAAGAAGAGGTTGGCTCTCCCCTCAGTGACTTAGATTCCAGGCTTCTGTATGGTGGGAGAGTTATGGCCCATGTGAGACCCCGTGGTTTACAGGATGAAGTAAGATCAGTACAGAGGATGCACGTTCAGTCAACTCCAGGTTTGAGAAGCCTGCTCATTTGTGTTAGGTCACAAGAGCTGTAAATTCCTCAGCAGGAGTACTTTTGCTTACAAATGCTTTTCTGTTTAACTATTGCAGGACAAAGCAGTTCCAATTCCAGACAAGATGAATGAATGGGCTCCTCGGCCTCCTCCAGAATTTGTCCGAGATGTTATGGGTACTGTCTTTTGTCTGTCTGTGTGTGAGGGGGTATAATTTTTAAGAGGAAATATGAAACACTATTGTTGATATTTGTGAACTAAATTTTTGATAGGAAAATTTTTTTGTCTTTACAGTGGAGGAGTGCTGTGTTTTATGGTTTGCACTAGGTAATGGTTGCCCACCTTATTCTTAGGTAGTTTTGTTTCTTGTGGTTAAACCATTTTATTCAGAGGCCTTAAAAAGTTGGTATAGACTGAAGAGGTCCACATGATCAGACAAACTAGTCGGGGAAGATCTTCTAGGCTTCCTTTATGCTAAAGGTGTTTGCTTATTTTCTGAGATAGAGTCTGACCATGTAGCCCAGGCTATACTTGAACTCATAATCCTTAAGCCTCTGCTTCCTAAGGGTCACAGGCTTTCACCTTGCCCTGGAGTTACTATTGCCATCATGAAACACCATGACTAAAGGCAAGTTGGGGAAGAAAGTTTATTTGGCTTGCAGGTCTACATTGTAGCCCACCACTGAAGGAAGTCAGGACAGGAACTCACACAGGGCTGGAACCTGGAGACAGGAGCTGATGTAGAGGCAGTGAAGGGAGCTGCTCACTGGCTTGGTGATTATGGTTTGCCTGCTTTCCTACAGAACCCAAGACCACCAGCCCAGAGGTGGCACCACCCACAAAGGGCTAGGACCTCCATCAATCACTATTTTTTTTAAGATTTATTTATTTATTATGTATTCGTTCTGCTTGCGCATCACAAAAGGACACAAGATCTCATTATAGATGGTTGTGAGCCACCATGTGGCTCCTGGGAATTAATTGGACCTTGGAAAGAGCAGGTAGTGCTCTTAACTTCTGAGCCATCTCTCCAGTCCCCATCAATCACTAATTAAGAAAATGCCCTACAACCATATTTTATGCATGCATTTTCTCAAGGGAAGGCCCCTCCTTTCAGATTACTCTAGCTTGTGTCAAGTTGATGTAAAACCAGGCAGCACAATGATCAGGCCTTTTCTGGCCTCTCCCAGCACCCACAGGCACACGTGCACACACAGACACCTACATACATACATACACAAACAGAAGGACATAATAAAGCCAGGTGGACCGGAGGCTGGCACATCAGTGAGTGCTCCCTCCTCCCTGTGCCTCAGTTTACCTCAAGGCTGACTAGACATGGTCAGTCGGCTCTCTGCCTAGGTCTGATATTCAAATGGCAGTTTACCCAAACAAACACGATAGGGCTCCCCCCTCTCTCATTGGCTTATTTTCTCCCTTTTGTCCCTCATGCCACCACAAGCATATGTTTAAGATAAACTGTTTCTATATAGTCATTCATGTTTTGTAATCCACTTCTTTTCACTTGCAGTATCAGACATATTTTCTCAACCGTTAGGAATCTAGCTCGTCGCTTGTGAAATCATGGAGGGAAGCTGAGTCCTTTCTAGATGGTGGGTTGTCAAACCGCATCTGACCCTCCTCTTACTGTCATATAGAAATAAGTTTTGTTTTGAGCCGAGGGTTTGCCATGTAGCTTAAGTTGGTCCTGCACTCTCTGTCTTCCTGCCTCAGCGTACGAGGGTTATAGGCTTGTACTACCACTGCTAGGGTAGAGTGGGATTTATTCACACTGGTGATTTGATAATACCTACAGTGTGCCATGCGCTGTCCTTGCTAAATTACAGGTAGAAAGACTCAATGCATGCAGGACCTTCAGTTTGAGTTCTTGCCTTTAGCCTCAGGGGTTAAGTGCAGCTTATGTTGGTAAGTGGATTCCTCTTCTCTTCTTTTCTCCCTCCTCATTTTGTAGTCCTGGAGATTAAACTGTGCCTGCCAGGCAGTGTTCTGCTAGTGTGCTGTGTTGTATCATTAGGCCTGATAACTGAGTTTCATCTAGAACTCTGGACTGTCCTGGCTCTAGGTTCCAGTGCCGGGGCTGGCAGTGGAGAGTTCCACGTGTATAGGCACCTACGGCGGAGAGAGTACCAGCGGCAGGACTACATGGATGCCATGGCTGAGAAGGTTAGTGAAGCCACGGAACCCCGGACGCTGGGTCAGACTCGAGACCACAAGCTATCCACACTAGAAGAGTTATGTGTAGGAGTGTTCGGTGCATATGGAGGGCACCACAGAATCCGCTTCCTCCCCCTTCCCCAGGCCATTTGTCGGCAAGTGGGGGCTTCCACCCATTGGCGGTTTCCTCCTCTCTTTTCTCTCTGTTCTCTCATGCAGTTCACTGTGGTTGGTGTATGTAGTACTGTGTGTTCGATGCCTGATTCTCAGGGGATTTTAGTTTTCTTGGTGCTTATATTTCCTCATGATAGGTGACAACTAAGAGTTTAAGAATTGCTTTAGGCCAGGTGGTGGTGACACATGCCTTTAATCCCAGCCCTCAGGAGGGCACTCGGGAGGCAGAGGCAAGTGAGTTCAATGCCAGCCTGGTCTACAGAGCTAGTTCTAGGACAGCCAAGTGCCTCCCCACCAACACACACACACACACACACACACACACACACAAACACAAACAAAAATAATTGCTTTCGAAATTATTGTGCTGTAAGAACCAGTAAGAATAGTGGTATATGACTCTCTGCGAGTCGTAGGCCAGCCAGCGCTACAAAACAGTGACTCTGTCTCAGAACAAACAAACAAATAGAAACTGAACCATTAGGAGTGGACAGAGTGGCGTGGGCCTGTTTTCCCAGTTTCCAGGTTCAGGCTAGAGAATTTCTTGAGCCCAGGAGTTCAGGGTCAGCCTGAGCACCATAGTTAAGATCTCAAAATAAAACAATGACAGTTGGAGAGATGGGTCAGTGAAATGCTTATCTTGCAAGCCCAAGGTCCTGACTTCAGTCCCCAAAACCCAGGTGTGGAGGGAAAAGGCTCCGGGTGACGGTGTGTGCTTGTAATCTCCTCACCAAGGAGATGGATTCAGGCAGATCCTTGAGCAGTACTTACCAGCCGCCTGAGCCTAACTGGTGACACCCTAGGTGGCAACCTAGGAGTGACACCCACAGTGACCTCGGGCTTTGAAGTCATACATGTGCTCTGGCATACATGTGGATCCAAATATACATGCACATATGTACATACATACAACCACACAAAAGCTTTGAAGCGGGTGGGTGTGGCTTGGTGGTAAAGCACTTGCCTGGCATTTCTGAGGGCTTGGATTTAATCCTCAACACTGCAGTCACAGAGAACCTGAGAGAGAGAGAGAGAGAGAGAGAGAGAGAGAGAGAGAGAGAGAGAGAGAGAGAGAGAGTTTTGTTCTGGTGTGTGGGTGTAGGTTTACTGAACTGCCTTCACCAGGCTAGCTGGCTCTTGAGCTTCTCCTCTCCTGCCTGCTCTTCTCCAGCCTTGACAGCACCGGAATTAGGGACTGTCCTGTCCGCCTCTTACATGGGCTCTGAGGATCCAAACTCATGCCCTTACACTTGTGTGGTATTGTAAGAATTTTCAGGTTAGAGGGGACTAGGCACTATCGAGCCCCTCCCTCCAAGGTCCCAATGACAAACCAGAGTTCTCCCTGGGGAACCAATGAGTGTTTAGGGCTTACAGAGCACAGTGAGAAGTTACTGATGGGAGATGGGCACCCAAAAGCACTGCCCTGGAAAGATGGCTTCCTTCCCTGTGGCAGCAGAGAGGGAACCTTTTCTTTCCCAGCCTTTCCAGCCTCTATGCTCTAGCTCTCCCTGAGACCTCAAGGCTATGTCAGTTATGGCAGAGTTACATACAGCTGGTTGGGAGGGGTGGCCGTATGCTCAGGCGAGGTCCTCTGACATCCCCCCACTCCCCACCTCCCCCTACCACTCCCCACCCTCCTCACCGCTGCCATCCCCCACCTCCCTCCTCCTGTGGGGAATGGCAACAGGCCCATCAGTGGTGGCCTTCTGCAAGCAGGCACAATGAACTCAAGGTTGCAGCTGTTTGGCTTGGAGGACAGTGCTGTGACATGTGACATGTGACACATGCTTTGCCCTGAGCCACCCATCCTTATGATACAGCTGTAGAATCAGCCCTTTAATAGCTCTTACCTAGGGTGTTAGGACTTACTCCTGGGCTCTGACCCTTTAGCCCTTTCTTTTGCACAGGCCACCAGAGCTACCCCTCTGAGTCTCTGCTCTCTCTCTCCCTCCCTCCCTCTCCCTCCCTCCCTTCTTTCTCATTTCCCCTTCCCCCTCCCTGCTCTCTGTTTCCTCCCTTTCCCCCTCTTGCTTATCTCTGCTCCACCCCATTTATTTTATGCACCACACCTGTTCCCTCCCTAATTTCTCTTATAGGTTTTGTCTTACATAAGTGGTGTCTCTGTGAAAGTTATTTTTCCATCAGAGAGTTATGCATTGATTCTCTGTCCCACCTGGAGCGATCTGTTAAGGTGGAAGTGGCCCTGGAGACCTGGGTGTTACCTGTGGCACCCTAGTGGTGTCCCTGTGGAACTTGGACTCTTACACTTCCAAAGCCTGTCCAGCCCAGGGTAGTCTGAGTGATGTGTTGTTTGTTTTTTTCAGCAAAAACTAGATGCAGAGTTTCAGAAGAGACTAGAAAAGAATAAAATTGCTGCAGAGGAGCAGACTGCAAAGCGCCGGAAAAAGCGGTAAGAGCTTTCTGTGATCATTGTAGCCTGCAGGCTGGACATGGGGAAGTGTGTGGTGGATAATGAGCCAAGTCCTTATAAGCCAGAGTTCATTAGCAGCCAGTGTTAGGGTAAGAGCCTGTGGTCCCAGTTACTAGGTAGGCCAAGGCAGGAGAATTGTTTGAGCCAGGAGTTCAAGACCAGCCTGAGCCAAATGGCAAGGATTGGTGACATGACTCAGCAGGTGAAGGTGCTTGCTGCCAAGCCTGAAATTCAATCCTAGAACATACATGCTGGTTCCCAAAAGTTGTCCTCAAGCTGGGCATAGTGACTCATGCCTTTAACCCCTGCATTTCAGGACACAGGCAGATGGATCTCTGTGAGTTCAAGAGGAGACTGGTCCTCAGAGTGAGTTTCAGGACAGCCAAGATATACAGAGAAATCCCATCTGGGAGTTGGGGGCACTAAAAATTAAAAAAGTTGTCTTCTGACCTCTACACATGTGCCAATCACACACATGCACGCACATACACACATACATGCATACACATGCATCATGCATAACACCGTACAAACAAATGTGTGAATAGATGGCTCAGTAGCTTATAGCTGGTCTGGGGTTCAACTCCCACATCAGTGATGTTGAGCAGCTCATAACCACCTGTAACTAACTAACCCCAGAGGCTCTGATGCCCTCTTCTGACTTCCATGGACACCGAACTTAAGTGTACATACCCACACTCAGATACACACAATAAAATGAATCTTTAAAAAAATAAACCCTGCGCCTTTAATCCCATCACTCAGGAGGCAGAGGCAGGCGAATCTCTGTGAGTTCAAGACCAGCCTGGTCTACAGAGCAAGGACAGGACTACAGAGCGAGGACAGGGTTTTGATACAGAGAGTCCCTGTATCGAAATACCTAAAAAAAAAAAAAATTAAAAAATAAACCCTCACCAGGCAGTGATGGCACACGCCTTTAATCCCAGTTCTCAGGAGGCAGAGATGGGGGGAATCTCTGAGTTTGAGGCTAGCCTGATCTACAGAATGACCAGGGATACACAGAGAAATCTTGTCTCAAGAAAGCCCCTCCCCCCCCCCCCAAAAAAAAGGGAGGAGGAGGAAACCTTCAAAACATAACAGAAAGTTCACTTATGTAACCTGCAGGAGTCTGGGTAGGCAAGTCTTAAGATGAGTGACACTGAAAGGGATGATCTCTTGCAATACCTTGAAGCCACACATCTCTCATGGTCCTTCATCCCCTTACAGATCGAAGATACAAGTCAAACTTGGTGTCTGTGAGTTTCCCTGTCTCCCATCATTTCTGCATTTTTTTTTGTTTGTTTGTTTGTTTGCCTTTTGAGATAGTCTTGCTGTGTAGCTTAGGCTGGCCTTGAACACTGTTCCCATCACCTCAGTTTCCTTTCTACATTTGAACATTGTATTTTTGAGACTTTTGTAACCAGACTTCCCATGTGACTTTTATTAAGTGGATAGCCACTTTTTTTTTTGGGGGGGGGGGGGAGACAGGGTCACATTATGTTGGCCTTGAACGCTCTTGAGTTTTCTGGTTAGTTCCACCAAATTCTGGGAATACAGATATAAGCCACCAATCTCACCTACTCCTCAGAGTTTGATCCCGACTTACAACTTACTTAAGTGAAAATAGTTGATAGTGACAGGCTAGCAATCACTTTTGTCTTTCTTTCTTTCTTTCTTTCTTTTTTTTTTTTTTTTTTTTTGTTTGTTTGTTTGTTTGTTTGTTTGTTTTTTTCTGTATTGTTCTGGAGCCTGTTCTGGAATTCACTCTGTAGTCCAGGCTGGCCTCAAACTCACAGAGATCTGCCTGCCTCTGTCTCCCGAGTGCTGGGTTTAAAGGCGTGCACCACCAACACCCAGTTAGGATGTCTTATTTTTAAGTGTATGTGTATCTGTGTGGGTTTGTACATGTGAATATGAGTGCTCATGGGGCCGGAAAAGAAGCTAGAGTTGCAGGCAGTATGAGTTGCCTGACTTGGATACTGATTGCTAAACTCAAGTCCTCTAAGTGTTGAGCTGTTTTTCCAGTCCATTACTATAGCATTTGCATTGTTATAAAGATAGCATAAGTCAGGCCTGGCAGTGGTGGCACATGCCTTTAGTCCCAGCACTCAGAAGACAGAGAGAGGCAGGTGGGTCAATGTGAGTTCAAGGCCAGCCTGGTCTACAAAACTACACAGAGAAACCCTGTCTCAAAATAAACATAAGTCGATGTTTCTTCAAAACACCCATTCAGTTAACCACTGTGTATGCTTCCATGTGTAGCCAGAAGTTAAAAGAGAAGAAGTTAATGGCAAAGAAGATGAAACGTGAACAGAAGAAACAGAAGGAAGGTGAGTGGTGTCCACATTTCCCTCAGTGGCAGTCACCATCCCTGAGGTGACAGTGGCAGCTAACCTGTCACATGTGTCATGTCAGAAAGCCACATGACTGAGCCAGGCATGGTGATACACACCTTCGATCCCAGCACTGGGGTGGCGGCGGAGGCAGAGGCAGATCTCTGTGAGTTTGAGGCCAGCCTGATCTATATAGTGAATCCCAAGATGGCTGGGACTCTGTAGAAAGACCCTGTCTCAAAAAAACCAGAAAGAAAGGAAGAGGCCAGACTGGCTTAGGCAGAAAGGAAAGCTCACAGAAGGCGGTTGGGGTAACTTAATGGATTCCTGGTTACCAGTGTCACCCCCTCTGTACCCATCTTCACACTGCCCTGCTCTTCAAGTACCTCCAGCTGCCCCCAGTTGTTTTCCCCCTTGCCTCGTTTCTCCCCAGGAGGCAGGATTGAAGTGCTGTCTCAGCATTGGAAGCCTTTTGTTTTGTAGTTCTGTGTACATGCATATATACACACGTGTGTGCACGTGTACATGTGTGCCCATGGAAGCCAGAAGCCAATGTCAGGTTCCTCTTCGATTGCTGTCCACCTGATTTGTTGAGACACAGTCTCACTATAGCTGGCGGTCACTGATTTCACTAGCCTGGCTGGCTGACAAGCCCAAGGGATCCTCCTTTCTCTGTCTGCCTAGAGCTGGGATTTCAAGCACACACTGCCTTGCCTACTCTTTCCATTGGTACTAGGGTCCAGCCTCAGGTCCTCATGCTAGCAAGGCAAGTACTTGTACTGACTGGTCCATCTTTAACCCTCTTGTTTGTTAGTTTTGAGACAGGGCCTGTGTAGCAGCCTGGCTCAGTCTCGCATGCACTCACACCCCCGCCTCCACCTCCTATGTACACGGTTGGTTCCCCTTCTACCATGTGAGTTCAGGGACCAAACTGAGGTTGTCTGGCATGACAGCAGCCTTCACCAACTGAGCCATCTTTCCAGCACTGTCTGTTGTGGTTGTGGTTTTGTTTGTTGTTTAGTTTTGCTTGGGGCAGAGTCTCGTGTAGCTCAGGGTGAGCTCGCAGTCTGCCCTTCCTTACCTCTACCTCCCAAGTTCTGTGATTACAGACCTGCACTGTTATGTGCAGCTTGTATTTTTAATTCTCTGTCTCTTTAAGCTGCTGTTACAGGGATTCCTGTGCAGGCTGCTTTCACGGTCTGCTTTGTATCTTAGCACCTTACACGAGATGGGGGAGCTTCCCGCCGTAGATGTCCCATCAGCCTTGTGTATTTTCTGTTCTTTTGGATAGTTCCCAACCATCCACCCATAGGCTGTCCTCTCCCGTGATGTCTCCTTCTGTGGTTGGGTCTGCCTTGTGAGTTTTGTTTCAGTGACATGGTAATAAGGAAGTTCTAACTCTTCATTAGATTCTGATTCATGCTTTCTATTTCTTTGCTGCAGTTTTACCATCCCATTCATTTTTTTTTTTAATTATTTTTTTATTTTTGTTCTTTTGAGACAAGGTCGCTGTGTAGCCCTGGCTTTCCTGGAACTCATAGACCAGGCTGCTTTTGAGCTCACAGAGATCCACCTGAGTGCTAGGATTAAAGGAGTGTGCCTGCCCCGCCATGCCATGCCTAGCTGCCTTCCCATTTGTTTCAAGACTGAGCCACTCTTACATTCTGGAAAAAGTCTAAACTAGACGCTGTCTTAGTTTGCTTTCTGTATTTGTAATAAAAACACCTCATGATCAAAAGCAACATGCGTTTATTTCAGTTGACAGTTGTACTCCAGCATGAAGGAAATCAGAATTGGAACTAAGCAGGGAGCTGCTGCAGAGGTCATGGAGGACTGCATCTTACTGGCTTGCTGTCTGTGGCTTGCTCGGCTTGCTTTCTTATACACTCAGGACTACCTGCCCAGGGGTGACAGTGGTCTGTCTGGGCCTTGGACGCTGGTCTGCGTAGGTCTTGTCTTTTGTTATTTTTCTTATACCAGTTGAGCTTTCTGGCTCTTTAGAAGCCAAGTCATTTTCTGATGTATTCTGGACTTTTCGAATGACTTTGGTCTTGTTTCTATTCCTAGTAGGTCATTAACTTGGCTGTGTTCAGCGAATAGGTAGGTTCTGGACCTCCTGTTAATTTGTGATTTTTGCCTCCAGGTAGGTATGACCCAAGGGTGCCACCCAATGGCCAGTCTAGGTTAGTTTTTTGTTTTGTTTATTTTTGGTTTTTTGTTTTTTTTCGTTTAGTAGCTAAAATACAGGACCTCTCTTAAGACTGTACTGTAATGGTAGAGCATGCATATTAAGGTCTGTCCTTTTGGTAGAACTGTGAAGTGCCAGGGAAATAGAAGTTTGACTATTTGTAGTGGTGATATGTTGTTGCTCCTGATGTGTGTGTGTTGTTGTTGTTGTTGTTTTTGCTGTTGCTGCTGTATGTGTGTGCTAGTCAAGGTCTTGCTCTGAACCTAGTGGGCCTGAACTGTATAGCAAGCACATGGCTACTCTGTTTTTATTTATTCTGGTGTGTGTGTGTGTGTGTGTGTGTGTGTGTGTGTGTGTGTGTGTGTGGTCAGAGGACAGCCTTCAAAAGGAGCTGGTTCTTTCCTTCCACCCTTTGCCTCCACACAGCATCTAGGCCGCATGGATACACAGAAAGGAGGAAAGAAGGAAACTCCACTCTTTGTCAAGTTTTGTGTTCTACCTGTGTGAGATCCTTAGAGTACCAAATTTAGAGACACAGTGATGGTGCAGATTTGAGAGACAGATGGAGGGAATTTTAATGGGTTCATTGCCGTGTGGGAAGATGATAGGTCCTAGACATGCTTGTGATGACAGTAGTACAATATTAAGGAAATACTTAGGCGAGACATAGTGGTACTCACCACTAATCTCAGCACTCAGGAGGCAAAGGCAAACCCACCTCTGTGAGTTCAAGGCCATCCTGGTCTACATAGTAAGTTTCAGGCCAGCCAGAGGTACATATTTACCTTAAATAAAAATTGAAAAAAAGAGTAAAAAAATAAAACTTGGGCTGGCCATGATATCACATGTCTTTATTCCTAGGAACCAGGAGTAGAGTCGGGTGTGAGCCAGCAAATCTCTGGCCAGCTAGAGCTACCTAGAAAGATCTTGTCTGGAAAAAAAGCCATGCTTGGGCTATGGATGTACTCAGTTGATTAGTGCTTATCTGGCTTCTATCCCAGCAATGTACAAAAACTAGGCTTGGTTTTGGGCATCTCTAGTCCACACTCAGGGTATGGAAGCAGGAGGGTCAGGCGTTCAGGGTCATCCTGAGAGCTGTGGACAAATGCTATCACTGGTACAGTGTGGATCGCCTGTGCATATCAGAAGTACCAGGTTGTATGTAGTTTGTGTTGAACAAAGCAGAAGTAAGTCTGGGGATCGTCAGCAGTGACTTACATGCATTTCTCCTTTATTTCTCCTTCCATTATTTCGGGGTTTTTTTGTGTGTTTTTTGTTTTGTTTTGTTTTTTTGGTTGTTTTTGTTTTTTTGTTTTTTTTTCATTTTGTGAAGAGAAGATTTTTCTGGTGGCCTGGGTGAAAAGAATGAATTTAATGTAGTATTGCAGGATGTGCCACAAGGTGGCCCCAGCGCATCGTGAGGCTTGTGCTGGGTTGGCTCCATCCCTGACACGCTTTAGTTCTTCTTAAAAAAAAAGAAGAAGGAAGAGTTGCCTAAGGCTATGTTCTGTGCTGTGTAGTAGCTCAGTCACCAGCCTGCAGCTTGGGACTTGTATCTGAGTGACAGCACTGGGTTGGCCATGAGCCAGTTTGGATCCCTGTCTTCTCCAGTGATGTGTCCTCACAACGGTTTCCCTTCCCTAACACCCTGCCCTCCAAGAGAACCTGAAGTGACCCTGTTAGTGGACACAGCTAGAGCTAGTCCCAGCCTCAGTGCTGGTGGCTACCGCTGGGGCAGGGTACTCTTTGTAGGGATCGGCCATTGCCTCGTACATCAGAAGCAGTGCTGGTGGCTACCGCTGGGGCAGGGTACTCTATGTAGGGATCGGCCACTGCCTCGCGTACATCAGAAGCAGCTGCTTCCTCTTGATCGTTGCATTGGAAGTGTCTTGGCACTGCCAGATGTCCCCTAATCAGAAGGGCACAGAAGTCCCTTTGAGTTAGAGAGATACTTGCTAGAGGCGATGCTCTGTCCGAATGGCAGCTTGTATGTGCTCTGGACTAACATTCAAAGCCACAGACTTAAGTGTAGTGGGCTGGAAAGCTGCCCTGTTCTTTGTATCCTTTGATCATGAAGCCACTGTGTTCCTTGCTTGGGAGCCATTAGGGTACACTGAAGAGAACAAAGTGAAAAATGATAGTGGCTATAATCCTTACTAAAAATAATAGCTTACCTGTTTGTTTTTTCTTGCTTTCAATTTATTTATTTATTATATATATTTATATATGTGTGCCCTATCCATGTTAAAACCAGGCTGGTCTAATTTTACCACAGAACTTTGTATCATGGGCCACACCACAGAGGTAGTGTTTATCAGGTTTTCCCACTACAAATAATTTATTTTTTGGAAGGAAATCACCTTGTGCAGCTCACACCTAAGGAATGAGGTCCAGTCAGGCCCCTCCAATCTGAAGGCATATATCTACAGACATCGGTTAGGAGATAGTATCTCCATCTACATAAGCGTTTATCTGTGAGGACAAACCTGTGTGTGTGGTCTGGTCTTCCTTTACCTCCTTGCTGGAACTGTCTTGTCCCTGTGATAAAGTCTCTTCATTGTGTGCTTGCCTACCACGAGCTTTCAGCACTTCCTTACTTTCTGGTACTGTAAGATACTCCAGGCTCATCCAAGGATTTCCTGCTCTCAATCTAGCATTGGGTGTTGGTCCAAGACATCTATTTTCTTTTGTTGGCTTAGTGTTAGAAAGCAAGATCATGGGGGTGAGGGTGGAAGGAGCCATTCATCTTTGGCTGGTGGAGAAAGTAGTGGTAGGCAGTTCTGTTCTCCAAGTGTCCTAGGCCGTATGCCCATTATCGGTGGCTGTGACATTGCTAGGTGATGTTGTTTGGTGGGCCCACTGTCATACAGTACTGTCTGTCAGTTGATAGAGATGACTGTGCAACTTGTGGAGGTGTATGTCCTGAGCAATGCCTGGACACTCCTGTCTGTCCACTGTAAGTTAATCATGAATCTCAGTGCCTCCAGCTTTTGTCCGTCATCAGTGGGGCATTCCAGCTCTGTGCACCTTACATCCCACACTATCACCCTTGTTCACTCCCAGCCTCTGTTGTACTGGTTGAGAGTTGCTGCTCTCCTGTGGGAAGCTGCTGCTTACACCACAACACAGAGGCCCTTTGCCTGTAGCTGTAGACCCTGATCTCCTATACTGCCCGGTCAGTACCACCCACCCTTTCCAGAGACACATTTACAGGTCAGTTGGACTCTGCGTTCTGTCTTAATCCCTGACTGAAGTGACTTTAAAGATGTACTTTTTAAATTTATATGCCTGCACTTATGTATATATAAGTTATGTAGACCCTGTGAAGGCCAGGGGAGAGCATCAGATCCACTGGAGTTGGAGTTAAGTTTTTCTTTCTTAGATTTTTCAATTTTATGTGTAAATGTTTTGCCTGTATGTATACATGTACATCACATGTGTGCCTGCAGAGGTCCAAAGAGTGTGTCAGGTCCCCTGGGACTAGAGGTACAGATGGTTGTGATTCACCATGTGGGTGCTGGGAACCCCACCTGGTTCTCTGCAACAGCATCCAGCGCTCTGAACTATTCCCATCTCTGCAGCCTCAGTGCGTGGACTTTGTCCGGTGCATAGTATTGTGAGTCCACTGGGAAAATATACAAATTAGTTTCGCTGCCCTGAAAAGTCCCTGGTGAGTCAGCTGGGGCCCCTGTGCTAGGACCTCCCCCGCCTCTACCTCTTTCTAGCCAGCTCCCGCCCACTCCCCTGCTCTCATGACAGGAGGAGGGGCTGGGGACAAGTTGTCTCTGATGTTTTCTGGGCCAGCTTAGCTGTACCACAGTGCTAGCAGCAGTATTAGAATATGCTAGACGCTTAAGCTGTGTTGAGGATAACCAGGAGACTGACACAGCCCATCTTCATAGGTTTTTGTTTGTACATGATTTTGAAGAACCTGAGGCTCAGGCTGGGGAGGTTGGCAGCCCAGTGGGAGACGTGGACCACATAGGTATCTTTCATGGTGTCCCATGTAGGAGGTGATGTCAACGGTGGGGGCCATATACTCTGCAGGCGTGGCTTGTGGGTGTCAGGTTCTGATGTGTACAGCCAGATCTTTTTAGTGAGGCTGAGGTAACCCTCTCAGAGTAATAAAGTTAATGCAGATTGCTTTTGGGGCAAACCTTTTAAACAATAGAATTGGGCACTGTTGGTCACAAAAGCACCTCTGGCTTCCAGCTGTTTCTGCCCAGGAACAAGTATACCCTCGGCTCTCTTCCTCTTCTTGAGACAGGGTTTGCTGCCCAGGCTAACCTCAAACTCACTATGTAGCTGAGGATACCCTTGAACTTGTCATCATCTGCCTGGGGTTGTCATCATCTGCCTGAAAGTCCTGGGGTTATTAGTATAGCTTCTATACCTAGTCTCTTCCTTATTTAAACCCCCTTATCTCTCTGTCGGATCTGTCTGATTATGATTTGAATATTGTGTGGTTACAGAACCCAGTCAGTGCCAAGAACAGCATGCCAGCAGCTCTGAGGAGATATCTGGGACAGAGGAGGAGGAAGAGGAGTCCAGTGTCATCATGGGACGATGAGGACATGAGCCCAGCTCATTTTCTGAACAACTTTGGAAAGAGGCTGTGGGCCAGCTGCCAGACTGGCTGTGTTGGGAGAAGTCAGGAGCCTCCTGCATCTCTGCTTGTCTAGGGAGCAGAGGGACCATCTCCTAGATATTTGCAGATTGCCTACTGTGTCCTGCCTTACTGCTCTTGCTAAAGGGAAATGCCTCACCTTCCCCCAGTGCCTGTTCCCTTCTGCTTGAATGGTGATAAGCTCTGGACTGGTTTCTGTGACGAGAATATTTATTTAGTAAAAAGCAGAAAACCTATGGGTTTTGTCCACATGTGCGAGATGTAATTACCAAAGCCTCAGAGAAACCATGAAATGACGTAGAGACTGAGCCTTGAGATTTGGCAGGCCCTCTTTTGCAGCCCTCCTTCCAGATCTACCCAGACACATGGCCTTGGCTCTGGGAAAGGCCTGCACTTTGGATGCCTAGCTCTGTCCCTTTGTGGAGCAGGAGTTGCCTGCCCAGCAACTCCCAGAATGTGTGTGAGCCGACCAGGGCCCTCAGTAGGAGGCTGGGCAGAAGAGAGGCCCCAGGAAAACAGTGGGTAGTGAAAGAAAGCAGAGAGTGACTGGTGAGATGAGGGAGAGGAGATAGGTACTGGCCAAAGCCTTCCTCCCATTCTTAAGATCCAAGCTGAGAGGGATGGAGAGGGTGGGACTCTTAAGGATGGAAAACCCTCCTGTCACCAGGATTTGGAGGCAGCCAGTCCTCCATCTGGGTGCCCCTGACTGACTGTGGTCCAGAATGCACCAACACCATGCCAGGGAGAGGGGAGGTGACCAGGTCCGCTTTGGTCCTCAGCCATCAGGCCAGTGGGGCGGTGGGCGGTTTAGTAGACCCTGGCTTTGTGTCTGGAGTGTGTCCATTTCCTGAGTGCGTCATGTGCCTTTTATGGATGTTAGCAGCATTTTGAGTGAAAGGGAAGCTAAGAATGTCTTCTACTTTGTTTATTTTTATGTTTTTGCTCTTCTTTGACAGCTCATGCATGTTTGTAATGTACTTTGATCCCGCTTACTCCATTCTCTTAGCCCTGCCTTTCATTAGGGTTGCCTAAGTGAGCTTGGGTGGTGGGTAATTTACCAAAACCTGGAAACCTCCCCAGTGGCTGTGCTACCGAAGGAAATGACTCCCTCCCCTCTTCTTTTACCTCTGTAGCAGATTCCCTGGTCCTACTCTGAGCCATGTGACATCTGGGATAACCCCTGTCCTTGCAGCAGTTTGAGTCACGTGAGATCTTCCTGTAAGTCAGGACTAGCCTGTGATTTTGTGATTTGCTTTTACTCATCAGTGTCAAGGCTCTTGCTTTGAACCTGCAGCCTAGACCTCATGGGCTTTTGCTCTGCTGGGCGAGGGCTGCTGAGGAGGAGGGCTGCGCCAAAAAGCCTTTCCCTCAGCTGCCTCGGAGCCAGGGACAAGTCCCTTCCTGCCTCTGCCGGTTTGCCTGGCCTAGAGCTGCACTCAGCACATGTATTATCCCACAGCTTGGGAATGACTAAACAAAAGGATTCCAGGAGGAAGCATCTGGGGAAATGTTCCTGGCTAAGGGGTTATCAGTTCTCTAGGTTAGCTGACTCTCGGTCTATCTTCAGACTGTTATTTGTTTGGGGAAATGGAGCAGTTAGGTGGCGTCACTGAGGCGGGTAGCTGATACTGCCAGCCTCCCCCAAAGCCACAAAGAGGAGGATCGTGCCATTATGTGCTTGTTGAGGGCTCACAGGTGAAGAGAATTCTGGCAACGAACCCCAGGCCATATATAGCATAACTGTCAGAAAGCCTGGTGAGTGTGGCCATCTTACCCCAAACAAGCCTAGTCTCCCCTCGGAAGTTAAGCACTCTTGCCCTGGTCTCCTCAGGAGGAGCAAACCTTGTCTCTGAAGATCCCAATTTACCCACAAGGTAGGCCTTTTTTATTCACTCTCTTGACAGACATGTGCTAAGCACTTTGTGTGACAGCTGGTCATTTTTAGAGTAGAAAGTTCTTTGCCCTTCCATTGGATTTCTCATGGAATTTCCCACAGTAAGGTTTCTCTTGTTGCAAATGGTGGGGCCGGGGTTGAACCAGCCAGTGTGACTATGGCCGTTGTGGATGTGCTGTCCTGGGGAGAGTTGTCTGGTAGTACCACTTCAGCAGGAGAAGGTACCTGGTACTACCCGGGCTGAGGATGTACAGCCCTCCTTGGTGTGAGTGATGACTATTGCGTACAGGTTGCTTTTTTGTGTGTGGTGGCGTGTGGTTCATGAACCTATATGCATACTTCAGAAGCCAAAGAGCATCACTATCATGGGACAGGGTCCCTGAGGCTGGTGGCTGGCAGGCCCCAGCAGGCCTCCTCTGACCTCCACAGCACTAGGGTTACAGGCATGCACACCCAGGTTTTCAGTGTGTGTGAGGGGTGACCGCATGTCCTCATGCTTGCACAGCAAACACTCTCTTACTCACTGAGCCATTTCCTCAGCTCTCATAAAATAGAACTGAGTAAGGGGCTGGAGTGATGGCTCAGCAAGTAATAGCACTTACTGCTCTTGCAGAGGACCTGTATTTGGTTCCCAACACCCACATAGTACCTTGCAACCAGTTCTTAAGGATCTGGTAGCTTCTTCTGAGTTCTGTGGGCACTAGGCATGCATGTTATAAACATACATACACACACACATACATACATAACATACAGGCAGACAAAATACAGGAGGCAGAGGCAGGCAAATCTCTTGAGTTCAAAGCCAGTCTGGTCTACAGAGCTAGTTCCAGGACAGGCTCCAAAGCAATACAGAGAAACCCTGTCTTGAAAAAAACAAACAAACTATATATATATATATATATATATATATATATATATATATATATATATTTGAGTAGAGCTGACCCTATTATTCATGGTTTCCTGTTGTGAATCGCCTATTCATTAAACTTTGTCCGTAGCCCACAAATACTTGCATTGCTTTTACAGTGGCCGGCAACACGTTCCCCGATGGGGCTGAATGAATCAGCCCCACTTGTTTCAGCTCATAACATCGAATCGGTCTGTCTAATGGCCAGTGTTGTGCGCCCTTTGGTTCTCTTGGCAGCGTTGCTGCTTAAAGATCTCTCCAGGTGTTGTGCTAGGATGCTAAGTAGTGTTTCCTAGAGCCAGAGTCCTTGCCTTTCTCCCTGTAATAGTATTTGTCAACTTGGCACAAATGACATCCCTGGGAAGAAGGAGCTGAAGTGGAGCTTCAAGGCCTCCATCCGGGTGGCCTGGGGACATATCTGTGGATCATTTTCTTGATTGATGACTGGTGTGGGAGGGCCTAGTCCACTGTGGGCAGTGCCATCCCTGGGCAAGTGGGCCTGGGTTGTATAAGAAAAGCTGGAAGAGCCAGTAAGCAGCATCCCTCCATGGCCTCTGCTTCAATTCCTGTCTTGGTTTCCCTTGATGATGGACTGTGAGCTTTGAGCCAAAGAACCCATTCCTTCCCGGGTTGCTTTTGGTCAGTGTTTTCCACAGCAGCAGAGAAGCAAGGGCCTGCCCCTTCCCCTCACCCATGTCAGTGTCCACCAGCATCTTCCTTGCCAAGTTGGCCGCAGTGACCTTGTCCACGGTCATGTACAGTCAGCACTCCTGACAGTGCTGTCTGCTTCCTGTCCTGTCTTCCTTGCTCAAGCCCCTGCGAGTTAGGTGACCCTGCTGTCCTCTGTCCACAGCAAACCCCAAGACAGCCTGTCTTCAAGTGTCAAGCTAACCGGTACATTCTGAGTCTGAGGTCTCTTCCCCACTAAGAGCCCCACACATCTGTGTTCCAAAATCACTTAATGGTGTCCCAGGGGTGTATGACATATCTAAAGCCTACTGTAGGAGAAAAGGAATCATGTTCTTCCATGTTCTTGCCATGGAAGGAAACTGCGACACCATGCACACACTAACTTAGGAGCCGGCTCACCTGTTCCCTAACTTGTGCCTCATGTCTCCATACACACCTGTAGCACCTTGAGCCTGATGGGGCCAATGTGGCCTTTAATCACCATAGCCTGCCAGTCCTCCATCAGAAATAGCGGTCTCACATGCTCAGTTCCAGTGGCTTCCCTCTGGCCTCAAACCCTCCCTGGTGCCAGCACCAAGTTCAGGACATGATGGACAATGTCTAGGAAACGTAAGGAAACCAGAGACTGAAAGCCAAAAGGAACCTTGTCAAGCTTGACCAACTGATGTGTCAGGACATCTGTCTGCAGGGGAGCCCACTTCAGAATCCATTGAGATGGCTCAGTGGGTGAAGGTGCCTGAGTTAGACCCCAAGTACACAGGAAGGAAGCTTGTAATCCCAGCACTTGGGAGGCAGAGGCAGGAAAGTCAGGAGTTGACAGTCATCCTCAGCCACACAGCAAGTGGAGGCCAGCATGTTTTACATGAGACCTTGTCTTAGAAAAGCCAATAAATACTCTGGCTCCTAGTCATGACCTCAGTTTTTTGATTCATTACAGTTATTTTTTTTTTTTAAGATTTATTTATTTGTTATGTATACAGTGTTCTGCCTGCATGTATCCCTGCAGACCAGAAGAGGGCACAAGATGCTATTATGAGGTGATTGTGAGCCACCATGTGGGTGCTGGGAATTGAACTCAGGACCCCTGGAAGAGCAGCCAGTGCCCTTAACCTCTGAGCCATCTCTCCAGCCCCGATTCATTACAGTTATGATCATGAGCGCAGGGGAGGGAAATGGAAGTCAGTAATCGCGAGAATTGGACTGGCCAGAGTTATTCCCACCCACCTAGAGAAATGTTGAATTGAAGCAAGTATCCATTCTTTTTTTTTGTTTTTTGTTTTTTGAGACAGAATCCGTAATAGGGTTTCTATTGCTGGGAAGAGACACCATGGCCACAGCAACAAAGGAAGAACAAAGGAAAAACAGTGAATGGAGGCTGGCTTACAGGTTCAGAGGGTTAGTCCATTTGTCCTAGCAGGAAGCAAGGTGGCTTGCAGGCAGGCATGGCGTTGGAGAGGTAGCTGAGACTTCTAGATCTGGGTCTGCAGGCAGCAGGAAGAGACAGTGAGCCACTAGGCCTGTCTTGAGCTCCTGAGACCTCAGAGCCCAGCCCCCACCCCCATTAACACACTTTCCCCAACAAGGCCACACCCCTTAATAGTGCCACTCCCTGTGAGCCTGCTGTCTGTTTTCATTCAGACACCACAGGTCTCACTGTGTAGCCCTGGCTGGCCTAGAATTCACCAGGTTGGCCTCAAACTCACAGAAATCCATCTGCAATTAAAGGTGTGTCCCACCCA